AATAATAGCTGCCAAATAGTGATTTCTTTCAGTTTCACAGCATCCCTTCTTCATAGATTAAAAGCTAATTGGTAACCACAAAACAGTAGAACAGAGAAATACTACAGAGGATGTGATGTTTAAAATGAAGTTTTCCAGGGTTCTTTGTTACACAGTTATTGACTGCAGCGACTGCATTGTCTGTGTCTCATTTTCTGAGCTACATCTCTTGAAGATGAACCTGTAAGGCCTGTTTGTCTTAATGACAGCATGTTTGCACAACACCTGTGCCAACTGCAGAAGTATCATTACTGCATTGAAGTGCAATGGAGTCTATTGTGCTTCATGTCAGCTTCACAATAAGTGCCATTAATGGTATGGTGAGTGTGCACACAAATATCTGCCTGGAATACCTCAACAGTATTCCAATTGCACGCCTATAGGTTAACAGTAGAAGAGGAGAATCATAAACAAGGGAGGAAAATCACCTATAATGCATACATATGCCAGCCAGCAGGTGGCAGCATTATACTTTTCATATAACTGTGTTGCTAATATGGCTCTCTCAACATTCAGAAAAATGTAAGAGACTTTCTCCCGTTGATGCTGATGAGAGAATGAGTTGATGGTGCATAAAATGCCTGCTTATATTGACTGTTCATCTCTCGGCTATCTTCCTTTATTCATTCATTAAAACAAAAACAAAATGGATTCTTCAGATCATATCAGATTTTCACTGCCAGGCATAAGACTAACCTATTTTTGTGACCATTTGCAAGAAAACAGCTGCACACTCTTTTCATTGATGCCACTTTGCCTCGGATTTTAATGCTCCTGTCAAAAGGTATGCAATAAACATTGAAATGATGCTCTGTTGCTTTTCTGCCGTCACAAGGTATTCGTGTACATGAGGAATTTCTGTGATAAACACATTCATGGTGGAAAGTTGCATTTATCACAGTCATATTGGTGTGTGACCTCTGTCAAGCTGGGAGGTCAGTTCACCTCTTCATTCAAAATGGAACTATTGCCTCTGGAGCAAAGAGGCATGAGAACATAAGGAAAACTCTGTTGGATCATCTAGCTCAGTACCCTATTCTCACAGTGGGACACCAGATCCCCATGGGAATCCTGCAAGGAGGACTTGAGCTCAATAGCCCTCTCCCACTCATGCTTCCCTGCATCGTACCTCTGATCCTGGAAGTAAGGTAAAAGTAAAAGGTAAAGGCCCCTGGACGCTTAAGTCCAGTCAAAGGTGACTATGGGGTTGCGGCGCTCATCTCACTTCAGGCCGAGGGAGCCGGCGTTTGTCCACAGACAGTTTTTTGGGTCATGTGGCCAGCATGACTGAAACACTTCTGGCACAGCGGAACACCGTGATGGAAAGCAGAGCGCACGGAAACACTGTTTACCTTCCTGCCACAGCAGTACCTATTTATCTACTTGCATTGGTGTGCTTTGGCAGGAGCTGGGACAGAGCAACGGGACCGCACACCAACATGCGGCTTTGAACCACCAACCTTCTGATCGGCAAGCCCAAGAGGTTCGGTGGTTTATACCACAGCACCACCAGCCAGCATGACTAGTAGTCACTGGAAAAGAGGTCCTTTGGACTGATGGAAACAAATAGGAAATGGGAGAGTGTGGTGATAGATAGCATCCAGTGAAAGGTCATCTGAGCTTCAGTGCATCCACCGTTATTTATCCTACCACATAACTAAGGGCATAGGAATTTAAATGAATGTCTGCAGCAGAAAAAAACCAAAACCAAAAGAATATCCTGAGGATATTTAATTGTAATCAAGGTTCATTGTATTCAGTGTAGATGTGCTTAGGGTTACAGCCTCAGGCAATTTTTTTTATTAAGTTTCTCTCTTCCTTCCCCTGCCCCACCCCTGATAAGCCTTTTCAGTATCCCGAATCACCATGTCATTTGATCACACATTTGATCTCAAAATAAGCTTTAAGGATTTGCTGTGGCTCAGGCTTTGGTGCATAAAAATCCCAATGCAACAGCGGTCCATGGAGGCGCAGGTTAATTCTGTATCCAGGGCAGCTGTCTACCAACTCCACCTGGTACGCAGGCTGAGACCCTACCTGCCCGCGGACTGTCTCGCCAGAGTGGTGCATGCTCTAGTTATCTCCCGCTTGGACTACTGCAATGCGCTCTACGTGGGGCTACCTTTGAAGGTGACTCGGAAACTACAGCTAATCCAGAATACGGCAGCTAGACTGGTGACTGGGGGCGGCCGCCGAGACCACATAACACCTACATTGGCTCCCAGTACGTTTCCGAGCACAATTCAAAGTGCTGGTGTTGACCTTTAAAGCCCTAAACGGCCTCGGCCCAGAATACCTGAAGGAGCGTCTCCACCCCCATCGTTCTGCCCGGACGCTGAGGTCCAGCGCCGAGGGCCTTCTGGCGGTTCCCTCATTGCGAGAAGCAAAGCTACAGGGAACCAGGCAGAGGGCCTTCTCGGTAGTGGTGCCCGCCCTGTGGAACGCCCTCCCATCATGTCAAACGCATTGACTTCAGAAGACTCTTAAGGCAGCCCTTTAGGAAGTTTTAAATGATATTTTAGTTGTCTATGGAAGCGCTGATGGCTGGGACCATGGGGGTAAAATAATAAACTATCATTATATTATTATTTTATTACTATGGCATTCTCCAAGGAGCCAAAGCAAATAATCAATGCTTACATTAACATATAGTAGCAAATTGAGGCTATAGCTCTCCCTATGTAAATCCTTTGGCCCATTTATCTCACCGAGATGGCTACGCAGTAAATCTATCATGAATATATTGTTAAAAGAGAAATATACATTGTTAGCGAGGCTGAGTCATCTGAAAACACTTATTGATATATATTAGAAGCACAGACAAATGCTTGTGTGTCAAAGATCCCACAAACTAAACCAGCAAACTCAGACTTCCTGGCTCTTATCCTAAACAGATACAGCACAGCACAGAGGGACTAAAAGCACAGTCCAGCAAGGGATTCTCATGAGCAAACACAACGGAAACAAATGAGAGTTGCATGAGAGGCACTATCGCTTTTTTACATCACTTCTGAGAAATGCCAAGGAGGAGTCCATTCACATCATAAAGGATGCTGCAAGACTGGCAAAATAGGGTTAATACAGGGAAACAGCTGAAGCTCAGTTGCAGAGTAGAAAGTCCCCCGTTCAATCTCCAGGGAAAGCTGGGAGATTTCTGATCTCTGTCTGAAATCCTGAAGAGCTGCTACCGGTCATCATAGACTGAGGATTGGGAACCTGTGGCCTTCTAGACTACAGCTCCCATTACCCTGATGATTGGCCATACTGACTGGGGCTGATAGGAGTTTGAGTCCAACAGCATTTGGGAGGTGTCACTCCTGGTGCGGACAATACTGAGCTAGGTAGTGGTCTGACTGAGTATAAGAAAATAAGAAGTGCCTGCTGGATCAGGCCTATGGCTCATTTAGTCCAGCATCTTGTTCTCACGACAGACGAGATGGCTCTGGGAAGATTGCAAGAAAGACCTGAGTGCAATAGCACTCTCCCCTTCTGCGCTGTGCAGCAATGGATTCAGACAAGCTGGACTCCACGGCCTGCTTCAGCTACATTTCTCAGGGACATTGATGCCCACATGGACCACAACAATGGACATCTTCCCCAGGACCTTGGTATTCAACTGAGATGACTCGTGGCATCTGCAGTGTTCGTATAGGCCCAGTGCCACTGAAGACCTCGCTTAGGCAGCTCTTTCAGATTCTCTAGGCCATCCACTTTAGTCTTGATGGGAGTTATTCTGCGGGTGCCGAGAGCCCAAGCACACAGCCAGAAGCAGGGCCGGTCCACTGATGAGGCAAGGTGAAGGAATCACCTCAGGTGGCAGAATGCACAGGGGCAGCAATCCCAATGTAGATCTTTATTTGCCACCCCCCCTTGTTTCTGACGCAGGTCTTCACTCACCCCTTCTTCCATGGTGGGGAAGCACCATTTTTTTGTTCGCCTCAGGTGCCACAATGTCTTGGGCCAGCCCTGCCCAGTAGGAACATGATCATAGAAATTACGCCCTGTGAAAAACACTGGATTGCCCCTCACCCAGATGCTGTCTATTCTACCTTTTGCAAATTATTTCTCTCCCATTTGCATTGTGAGCAAAAGAGGTTTATACTCCTCAAGCTTCTTCTTGCCATAGTTAGACTGCAAGAGTTTACGAGGCTCTGCTGCTGTGGCTGTGACACTCCATCACCAGAGTGCTGTTGTAACTTCAAGATCCTACTTCGGCAGCTTCTTCCTTGCTTGCCTGTTGAGATCACTGTTATTCCATTTCCTGATCACAGTTCAAAATCAGGAGGCAGCAGCCAAAACAACAGTGGCAGGACGGAGTGGGGAAGCAAGCTATAAACATATAAAGGGCCATGGAAAATGCCAAAAACAGCGACTATTGCTTTATTTGAACTAGTTTTCAACATAGCAGCAGCTACTTAGCCTTTCTCCGGAAGTATTGGGGATTCCCCAAGAGTGATGGACTTCCTGGCATTGAAAGAAGAAACGGCACCATATGCAGCACACTCAAAGCTCGTGGCTTCCCCCAAAGAATCCTGGGAACTTATTCCCCCAAAGAATCCTGGGTTTATTAAGGGGGCTGAGAACTGTAGTTCTGCTAGGTGTGAACTAGTTCCTGGGATTCTTTGGAAGAAACCATGCATTTTAAATGTGGACGTGTGTGGATGTGACCACAGTCCTGGAATTGGCAAAGGAATGCTGGTTTTGTTTCATGATCTTTGTAAGAAGCATTCCAAGATTGCATTTGCAAAATCTTAAAGCAGCTTCCTTTACGGGAGAGCATTGGGCGTCTGCGAGTGCTAAACACACACATGCACACACACACACACACACACCCCAGTGACATTTGTTTTGATTAACACTAAAGGAGAAATTATAAGCTCCTGTTAACAGCTACCAAAATAGAAACCCACAAGCAATTTTTTTTAAAAAAAAAGAATTGTAGCTGTTTCTGACTTACTTACATTGTGATGGCTCTTCCATTCCCCAGGGGCCTTCTGCTGATCCCCCTCTCCTCCCCAACTCCTGTTTGTTTATTTATAGCTGTCTCCAGAAGGAAAGACATAAGAATTTGTACTATCTTTAGAACATAATTCTGTCACGCATTTCAGGAAGCAGCCACGCTTCATATTCATTGGCTCCTTTTCAAACCCCACCTTAGAGAGGTTATTAATCCTTTTCTCAGAGAGCAAACGGACTTGTTGGTTCACGTGAGAGATATGTGGAGAGACGAAAGGCCTTGAAAGGTAGAAATGCTGTCTCAAGTCACTTCTGCCCTCCATTAAAAAAAAAGACCTGTTTTAGAGTGAAAGGATAGACAGAGCATCTGAAACCACACCTAGCTTACAAATCAAATGCAACCGTGACTCACGGTTCTTTTAATTTTGCTTCTGGAAAATACACACAGAGACATGCACGCATGCATTTCCACTGCAAGGTTAGGGTGACACTGGAGGCAAATTCTGAGGTTTTAATTAAGGCTTCACCTAACGCAGTAGCTGGAAATGGGAGGTACAGCCTTTTAGAAAATGAGCACAGGAGCAATCTGATAACTGAGTGATGCCTGCTGTGGAGAAGGGGTGTTCTGAGCATGTCTCTGCCCTAGAGAGCTTATTGGTTTACTCAAAGTGTGGGCAACATTGCTTGCAAAGTCCCTAACTGTTGGGCTTTGAAACTGTTTCTATGGATACTTTGGGGGGGGTGGGGTAGGCCACCATTGTAATACCATTTGGGGATTTTCCAAACAGTGTGTTTTCCCCTCCCTTGTCAGCTAGATAGGTATGTTTGTTGTCTTTTAGTCGTGTCCGACTCTTCGTGACCCCATGGACCAGAGCACGCCAGGCACTTCTGTCTTCCACTGCCTTCCCGCAGTTTGGTCAAAGCTATATAGGTATAGCTATATATTCACCCCATCTGGGGTGAATTTCTTTAGGGACGCGGGTGGCGCTGTGGGTAAAAGCCTCAGCGCCTAGGACTTGCCGATCGAAAGGTCAGCGGTTCGAATCCCCGCGGCGGGGTGCGCTCCCGTCGCTCGGTCCCAGCGCCTGCCAACCTAGCAGTTCGAAAGCACCCCCCAGGTGCAAGTAGATAAATAGGGACCGCTTACTAGCGGGAAGGTAAACGGCGTTTCCGTGTGCGGCTCTGGCTCGCCAGAGCAGCTTTGTCACGCTGGCCACGTGACCCGGAAGTGTCTGCAGACAGCGCTGGCTCCCGGCCTATAGAGTGAGATGAGCGCACAACCCTAGTCTGTCAAGACTGGCCCGTACGGGCAGGGGTACCTTTACCTTTTATATAGTTATAGGATACAGTTACTACGAGACCAGTCCTTAAATGAGTCTAAGGGACATTTATTTCCTCATCCATGTCCGTAAACTGGTGCCATATCTACAGGGGAGCTAGCCAGCTTTTTGCCCTGGATAAAGCCTGTGGAGGGGTGCCATTGAGGCTCCCAGTCTGTGTGTATATGTACACAAATGTGTGTGGGGTTAGTGTGTGCCAAACTGGGTCTTTGACCTAGGTGAAATAAAGCCTAGTTTTGCCCCTGCGGTACAACTTTCATAACAGAATTTAAAGTCCAAGGAAGTTAGATTCTAATGGCATGACATTAATCTACATTACAAATTGTGCTGATGGCTGTCTTGTGGTGAGTGACCACAGGTGGGCCTACTTCATTCCCAGCAGCAAACTATGAGTATGAACAAGGCAAAGGCCGACGTGAAGCAACTATAAGTGTCACAATGATGTTGAAGGGAATTTTAATGTCAAGGTAACTGGATCTGTGCCTGGGTTGTCTGCTGGAAGTAGGGCATCAGCAAGAGGGCAAGACAAGGCAAGTATCTTGCCAACCTCAAAGAAGGTGTGGTCTGCTAAAATAAACCAACTCGATAGGTCAAGAACCTTGCCAAGAGTTACCAAGTACCAAATAATTTTTAGATGACACATTTACACCCTCATAAAAATGTCATTTCTTCCATTTCTTGGTTTATCAGTTATTTTTCTACTCCACCCATGGCATCACACTAATTATAGTGGTCAAGGAGCTTATGAAGACAATTCCAGAAGCTAAATCATCTCCCCAGACTTCCTCCAGGTTCAACACACATGTGAACACCCTCTCAGAAGTTAGAAAGTAAGAGCTGTTGTTTCATCTGCATGCTGGTGAGACTCAGCTTTATGTTTCTTTTCCTTTTTTTTTAATGTGATACAGGCTGGCACTTCATGAAGTGCCTGACATAATACAGAGTTTGGATGAAAGCCAGATGACTGCAAATCAGAAAGGAGTGGGGAGTTTTGCTGCAGCTAAAAAACAAAGCAAAACACCAGCACACTCCATATATTGATAGCCACTGTGTTTTGTCATCCCAGACAAACATTTCATATATAGGCAATATGTCCTCTACCTATTGCATATTTTTAGACTGGGGTGGCTATCCTGAACTGGACTCCCAAGCATATTCTCCTGACCCACCGCAACCTCACTAAGTTTGTCATAAGCAGCAAAAGGTGGGAGACATTAAGTAGACATGGCACTGGCCAGTGGTTTGATGGCAATGCAAACTTCTGCCTTGCCAGTCATCACATTTGCCATTTGATAAGTTTGGATGGGCTGCTGACCCCCCCCCCCTTGATCTACATGGATCAATGGAGGAGGAAGTGGCTGTGTGTCCTGCACAAGTGTGTGTGTAAGAGAGAGTTATTGGTGGCTGGCTACACCCACTTTCGTTCATGGAGCTGCAGGAAAGTTGGTCAGGTGTGAAGGCAGTCAATGGGCCCAAAACAAGTTAGTCACTCCAGTCTAGGCTCTTATTAGATTGCTGATTTGAGTAACAAAATGTTTTAGCCAGGCTGAGTAGAGAAAAGACACACACACACACACAAAGTACTTCAAGCAATGCTGCAATTAAAGTTGCCAAGTACAGTGGTACCTCGGGTTAAGTACTTAATTCGTTCCAGAGGTCTGTTCTTAACCTGAAGCACCACTTTAGCTAATAGGGCCTCCCACTGCCGCAGCACCGCTGAAGCACAATTTCTGTTCTCATCCTGAAGCAAAGTTCTTAACCTGAGGTACTATTTCTGGGTTAGCAGAGTCTGTAACCTGAAGCGTATGTAACCTGAAGCATATGTAACCCAAGGTACCACTGTACTAGTGTTGAAACAGCACATGACACAAAGTCTGATGCTGGGCTGATGTCCACTGTCCTCATGGGGTGGGGGGTGGGGGGAATGAAATATTTATTGTCATTTTACGTAACTCAAATAAGAAACTGAGCTGAAGCCCTAAAATATATGATACTCTTTTATTACAACCATTGGTGCAGGAAACTTAGTAATTCCTGTTTGTCTACAGTTAACACAATTCCTGCTCTCCCTCCCTTCACTGTTCCAATATCCTATCATAGGTTGCCAAGAGGAGCAGTACACATAATTTCACCTGCAGCTGTTAATGGAATTAAGCCCTTTCTTTAATCTCGATCAGAACATTTTTCTCACCATTTTAGAAATATTAAAGCATCAAATTAATATGTGAATTGTGAACTTGACAGGTTAGGTTTGTTTTGTTTTTTAAAAAAATCAAACTCTATTGGTAAGTTTGATTTACGGTACGGTATATTGTTAAACATTTGAGGAATGACTAGACAGATGAACCTTTCTCTTGAAGGCTCCACCTCCATGAGCAGCAAAGGGTGTTCCTCTCTTACATCTGAGCTCATGGAGGCTTTGCGTAATACTCTGTGCCGAGACTTGGAAATAACTTGTTGAACATTTGAAAGACCAGCCTTACCAAAAAAAAATCAGCAAATAAGAGAAAGATTACAGAAAACGCTTGTTTCCAATAGATAAAAAAGTGTCAGATTTGTAGAAAGAAAACTTGTTTTTACCCTTTTGCAAGGTTTCCCCTTGGGCTACAAGCCACCACATTTTACTTGCTGCTAAATCACAACCAAGAATAGGTCCTGACAAAGCAATACTTCCAAGCACTCATTTACTCAAAGCTGGATCTGCAAAAGCTGACTCACCAAGTTTGTAATATCCTGTAGAAGTATGCAAGGAGTGTCAAATAACTGGCTCAAGAATTGTCATTAGTCAAAGGACTGACTAGGTTCTTTGCATACCAGCCTACAAAAGCCACATCACTACTACTGTCAAGGTGGTGAAGGCTTTCGCCTTGCTTCTCAAGACTTCGGGGCAGATCCTCTGGGAGCTGATGACAATGTTTCAGGGATCCCAAGGGAGATAGAGAATTACTCCCTATATACAGCCATACCCATTAGCAAAAGGTGGCTGGATTTAATAACTCCTGGCATCACACTACATTGGATTAAGTGGAGCAAAGAGTGACTCTCTCCCCACACTGTCCCATCATTCCAAACCAACTGGGGAAGAAGTTACATAAAGAAAAATTGCTGCTTTAAAAACCGCCAACACTAATCTTTATTTTCATGTTCCATAAAATCATGTTATTAAGATAGTCAGAAGAAATCAACAACAGACATTAATTAAACAGTGTGATATTTTGTTGGCAATGATATGCTAGCAAAATGGAAATAATAATAATAATAATAATAATAATAATAATAATAATAATAATATACCCCCACCCATCTGGCTGGGTTTCCCCAGTCACTCTGGGCAGCTTCCAACAAAATATTAAAAATACAATAAAACATCAAACATTAAAAACTTCCCTAAACAGGGCTGCCTTCAGATGTCTTCTAAAAGTCAGATAGTTGTTCATTTCCTTGTCATCTGATGGGAGGGTGTTCCACAGGGCGGGCACCACCACCAAGAAGGCCCTCTGCATGGTTCCCTGTAACTTCACTTCTCACAGGGAGGGAACTGCCAGAAGGCCCTCGGAGCTGCACCTCAGTGTCTGGGCTGAACGATGGGGGTGGAGATGCTCCTTCAGGTATACTGGGCCAAGGCTGTTTATATACAATGATGTGGGTGGGACAGGGAGGAATGTACACTCTTTCCTAAACCTCTCCAAACCACAGCCCCACACCCCACTCTTGATGCAACTTTACACC